TTTTCGGGCTGCAGGAAGCCGTTTTTCTTAAAAGATATTAACACATACACCCATTCACACAACCACAGACAATTACATGATCGCTGACCTTTCTTTGCAGTGGGTGATAATAAATTTGTGTTGCTCATGCTCTCTCCATCTTCATCTCTCCCTACAACCCTCAGCTCTCTCTATTCCTCTATCCATCCTGAGTCCTCCTTGAAGAATCAACCCGCACTCAGTTTCATTCCCCCCGAGGGCTTTGTGTCACACTAATGTCAAAAACAACTAATTAGACCTCTTCATGAAGACAAGAGCATGAGAGTGTTGATGTTAAAAAGCAGATAACAGTGCTCGTGTGTCTTTGCATTTACGCTTGTTACACAGGATCATGTCACTCTATAAAGTGTACAGTGTGCATCTGTGCTTTAAGACAGAGGAATAATAGTTTCCTTGGAAAAACAATCCACACTTTCAAAGTCACTTAGAAACACGGTCTGTCCCTTTAGGGAGACTTTCATCTTCTGAATATTTTTTTCAGTTGGAGAATTTGCAACATTTTCCAGCACAGCCTCTACCTGGTGTGTGGGAAACTCAGCTTTGATTACTTTGCTTAATTGGAGGGAATGAAAAAAGGTAGAAATAGTTTTTCATCATTTGGTACATCGTGTTTTAACACAGACGAACTCACAATTAAATTGTTCTCATTTGCATATTTGTTGTTCAACCCTCCTCCCCACCCACCCCCTTGTCAAAACAGGTTTGAAATGGTGATTCACTCACGGCTCATAAGTGTTACCTGTTAAACTCGAAGATAACTATCCATGCTCAGCTGCACTGACATATCAATCTGACTGTTATTGTGTTCTCATAAATTTGCCTGACAAACATGCGTAAATACAGTTTATGGGCACCTGTCTGACTACAAATCAATATTTCCAATTGTGAGCGACAAATTGTTTTGCATCTGCCAAAGTGATGCAGAATAATTGTATTCCAAATACAAAAAACTATAAAAGGCAGTCCTATCGGGACAAAAAGAGGAACCTAAGTTGACATTTTTGAGCAGTCATGAGAAAAACAAAAGCCCACCCTCTGTTAATTCTAGGGTTTTATGTTTTTGGGCCTAATACAATGTTCTGCTTTTTATCAAGTTCTAAATTTATTTAAATCTAACGTCAAGTGTATAAAAACACACAACATAGTCTACCATGTAGCTATTTATTACATGAAAACAAAACTAAAATAAATATTATAATAAATATTTATTTTCTGTACATCTCACATGGTTGTGGAGGAATTTTATCCCACACTTTTTTAGACTGCTGCTTCAGTTCATTGAGATTTGATGATTTTATTTTCTGAACAGCTCTCGTAATGTCCCACCACAGTACCTTAGTCAGGGTGAAGTCTGGCTTTGACTTGCAACACCTTGATTTCACGTACAGTACTTACTTACAAAACTTATAGTACTTACTTATTTACAGTACTTACTTACTTACCATACTTACATTACTTACAGTACTTACTTACTTCCTTATAGTACTTACTTCCTTACAGAACTTACAGTACTTACTTACAGTACTTGCTTACTTATGTACTTACAATACTTAGGTACTTACTTACAGTATTTACTTACAATACTTAGGTACTTAAAGTACTTTATTACAAGACTTCCTGACTGACGGATTGATTTTGTCTAGTGGTGCGCAGCACACATGCGCTAGTTAAAAAAAAAACTAGAGGTAGCGCTCCATTTCCCTCACGCTGAGCTGCCCCCCCCCCCCCCCCCCCCCGGGCAAATATCATGGGAGAGATATGAGCGCCTTGCCAAGGCAAGTAATGTAGGGGAAACACTGGATGACCTCACATTTGACTCTAGATGGGTTTTTTTTTGTCTACAGAGGATTTTGCAGTCGACTGGAAGGTTTTCAGTTCTTGGGGCTGCAAAACAAGCCCAAATCATAATCCCTCACCACTGTGCTTGATGTGGTTTAAGGCTGGGAACAAAAACATTTTTTGCACCACAGACCAGCTTTACGCAAGACAATGTTTCCACGGACCAACAGTAGTGGGGTGAGTGTGAGATGTCTCATGCAAAACAAAACATGGTAAACTGCATTAAAACATAATTTAATTATTACATCTATAATTCCAATATTGTAATATTATGATAAATGCAGTTGGACGATGGCCAGTCCACCCCACAGCACAATGCTCTGGTTGGTCGCCTTCCATCAACAAGCCAATTTTGTCTGCAAAAGTCGAACCGTGAAGTAGCGAGGAACTACTGTACATTTAAATATTTTTTATGTAATTGCAATTTTATTATTATTATTTTGTGATTTATTAAATAAAATATCCATCCATCCATTCATTATCTTTTACCCGCTTCTTCCATTTTGGGTCACGGGTGTCGCCGGTGCCCATGTTCAGCAATCACTGTGCAAGAGGCGGGGGACATCCTGGACGGGTCGCAAGTCCATCACAGGTCCACATAGAGACAAACGAGACAAACAGCCATTCACTCTCTCACTCACACCTAGGGACAATTTAGAGTTACCAATCAGTCTAACATGCATGGTTTTGGTCTGTGGGAGGAAACCGGAGTACCTCAAGAAAACCCACACATGCACGGAGAGAACATGCAAATTCCACACTGAGAAGCCCCCAGACTGGGATTTGAACCAGCAACCTTTTTCGCTGAGAGGCAGCAGCTCTACCAGTTGTGTCACCGGGCTGCCCCTTAAATATAATATATTATTTAATATAATAAAACTACTGAGCAATGTGGTTTGCCCCTGAATAAAAAAAACTCTCAGTGCAGACACATTTGCTCAAGTGTTGGCCTTCAGTACTTATTTCTGACCTTTTTTTCCACATTTTTTTCTTTAAAAAACTCCAAAGCCTTGTCTTCTAATGAAGGATGCTTATTCTCCATGTAGCCAAACTGCTTTGAAGGTTTTAGGGCTTCATTGGATAGCCAGTCACCTTTTTCCCCTTTTAAAAGAAGCTCCCATGTTTTGTTTACTTGTTTTTACTATTAACTTTGAGAGCTCAGAGGTGCATGAAAAAAAACATGCAACTGAGCCAAACACTTGCAGATGGAAGCTGTATAATTTAAAAAATAAAGTAGCATACAGACTAACAGAAATAGAAATAAAATCAAAATAACACTTTTTACTTTTTTCCATGTGGTCTAGCACCACATGAGCCAAGGCACGGTGCTGGTCCCACTGTTTTGTTTTCAATGACCATGGTCCTGTGAATTATGGGTAAACATTTCTACTTTAGTCTCATTTATACAAAATACATTGTTTGATAAGTTATGTGGTTCATTCAGATGAAAAACAAAGTCATGCTGCCAAGTCCCAGCCATGTTCCTGCCATGTTCATGTCATGTTCCTGCCATGTTCCTACCATGTTCATGCAATGTTCCTGTCATGCTTTTTCCATGTTCCTACCATGTTCATGCCATGTTACTACCATGTCCATGCCATGTTCCTGCCATGCTTCTGCAATGTTCTTACCATGTTCATGCCATGTTACTACCATGTGCAGGTCATGTTCCTGCCATGCTTCTGCCATGTTCATGCCATGTTACTACAATGTGCAGGTCATGTTCCTGCCATGTTCCTACCATGTTCCTGCCATGTTCCTGCTATGGTCATGCCATGTTCCTGCCATGTTCATGGTATGTTCCTGTCATGTTCCTACCATGTTTACTTCCACGTTCCTACCATGCTTCTGCTATGTTCCTGCCATGCTTCTGCCATGTTCATGCCATGTTCCTGCCATGTTCCTACCATGTTCATGCCATGTTTATGCCATGTTCCTACCATGTTCCTGCCATGTTCCTGCTATGGTCATCCCATGTTCCTGCCATGTTCATGGTATGTTCCTGTCATGTTCCTACCATGTTTACTTCCATGTTCCTACCATGCTTCTGCTATGTTCCTGCCATGTTCCTGCCATGCTCATGTCATGTTCCTGCCATGTTCATGCCATGTTCCTGCCATGTTCCTTCCATGTTCATGCCATGTTTATGCTATGTTCCTGCCATGTTCATGCCATGTTCCTTCCATGTTTACTACTATGTTCCTGTCATGCTTCTGCCATGTTCCTGCCAAGTTCATGCCTTTTTATAGATAAGAGGCTTTCGCATGCAACCCATCCAAACAAGTCATGCTTGTTATGTATTTTTGTTAACTTGCTAGCCGATGCCTGATGTTTTTTACTCGTGCTTTTGATTATTTTTGTAGAATGACATGAATAAATAAAGTTTGTGAATTATATTTCTACCATTTCAGCTTTAGTAGCAGCAACAGCTGCTTTCTTAAAGTTATTAATATTATTAATAGTAATAGATCTTTCCTTCCTGACATTGTGTTAACACAAACTCGTAAGCTCCAGAACAGCCAAAGCTCCTGCTTTTATAGAGGTGATCAAACTGGTAATGATCAGTTAATCAAGTGCAATTGATCAACGGCTCTTGGCTGCTACTTCTTAAATTCTGCAGAAGCAGCAAGGATACACCATTTTTACTTCATTTTTCTTTTAATAAAATATGACATTCTGTTGGGTTTGTATGTAAAACATTGGGTAAATTTAATTAATTTAGTAATCTGTAAAAAAAAAACCAAAAAAAAAAAAACCAAAGGATAACTTTCATCATGCCCTGATATTTAAAACTCTAAAACTGACTGTCTTTTCCGCATGACTGAATTCTAGAAACAGTTCACTTAGATCAAGAGTTTTAGTTATTTAGTCCCTTATAATAAAACGTCCTTGTAGGGGAAAAAAAATTGCTTTTTTGTCTGTAGTTAAAATATCTTTCTTTAAGATTTTGATTGGAATACAAGTACAACACCATGCAACCATCTCTACATGTAAGGCCAGTGTCAACAACACTTGAGTGTAGATGAAAAGACAAAAACTGGACAAAAAGAGAGCATAAGTGTGGACTGAATCAAAACAGCCCATCTGGATGAACAGCATGAAGCAACAGGAGCGATCTCTACCTGTGTGTGCGTGGGTGGGATGTTCCTGCGTCCGTAGACCCCCAGCAGTGCGTTATGTGAAAGTGAGAGATTGAACTTGATGTAGGTCGGATGGTGCACAGTCATATGAAACCTCCAGAAGAGTCCTGGTGGGATTGCCTGGCTCTGCTGCGTCCCAATGTCAATTTCGCCACGGTCAATGGCACGGCCTCTCACCCACTTCTCTGCAGGTAAAAAAGAATAGGTGTTACTGTTCACATCCAACATATTTATCAAGGTGGACACGAGTCTGATTCAGTATCAGAGGGAGCAATTAATAACTAACCTGACATCCTATATCATCAGCGTGATCTGCAACCCAACTAATTAAGGGAGACTGAATAGACGTCCAAATGACTGAGCACTGGTTTAGAAAAAAAAAAAAACTACTTTCCAAGACACAATGCTTTGATGCTCTTTTGAACACACTGTGCATGAAGATAAACTGCTTTGGAAAGGCAGTGTTTGGTCTGAAAACTGTCTACCAGGGCTTTGTCGTGAGCTATATTAGCATCGCCTAACAAGAAAGAAAGATGGGTGGGTTAGCACGTGTGTTTCAAAGAGAAGAGAAAGCTGTGGAGGGGGAAAAGTGAGGAAGACACGCACACACACATGCATTCACAAACAGCACGCAGAGATAGTGTCTTGAGTGAGAGGTTGTCTTTGTCTGAGAAGAGAATAGGTCTTTGCAACCGTCCCTTGGCCATCAGCTCCTCTCCTCTCCATAAGCCTTTATCAAGTTCCAGGCCTGAGTCTTTTGTGTAGGTGGGGGGTGGGGGGGTGGGGTATCTCCAGCCTTTTTTGTGTTGGCCTTTATGGAGAGATATATCTCTGCTTCTAAACTAAGATGGAGGAAATATGTTGACAGAGGGGAGCTGGCCGATCGTTACCACCACAAAGGCAGAGGAACAGTTAGGGGTAGATTCATGGACGAGTCTGCTCACTCTCAATCTATAACGCCCGCAGCTCTACCACTCCATTATGGCGACACCATGTGCACCCACAGGCCAGCCAGAATATATCACATGTCTTGTCACGCAGAGAGGGAGCTCAATGTGCCGGTGTACTTGTCAGCCATGCTGGAAGTGGCTTAAGGAAAGACAGTGTGGGTTTGTTAGACTTGGGTTGGCCTATCCAACACTCTGGTTTATCCATCCATCCATTATCTTTACCCGCTTCTTCCTTTTACGGGGGGGTGGGGAGGTGGGGGGGCACAGTTGCCCATGTCCAGCTGTCACTGTGCGAGAGGTGGGGTACACCCTGGAAAGGTCTCCAGTCCATCAGGGACACATAGAGACAGACAACTATTCACTCTTTCACTCACACCCAGAGACAATTTAGAGTAACCAAATCAGTCTAACATGCATGTTTTTGGTCTGTGGGAGGAAACTGGAGTACTCGAGAAAACCCACACATGCACGGAGAGAACACGCAAATTCCACCCAGAATGGCCCCCGGATGGGGATTTGAACCAGGACAACCTGCTTGTGAGAAGCAGCAGTTCTACCAACTGCACCACCGTGCTGCCCCACTCTGATTTAGACTTTTAACATACGCACAAAGTTTAATCAAACCACGTCAAACATGCTTCACATGGAAAATAAAGTTTGGACTTGTAGACCATTCTATTATGCAACCAAAAGGAGTATCAAAGGAATAAGAAGAAATTTGGGTATCAAAGACACCCCCAAGTGTAATTAAAAACTTTGGCAATGCCCACGTTTTGCATTATATACCTAAGTAATTGTGGTTTTGAGTCTTGTCTCATCATTTTACACTTTAGAATATAAAAATCTAGTAAATATGCTGAGGTACAAAACAAACACACAAATGAATTAAAAAAGCACTGGGACTTGTGTGCTAAAATTCAGCAGATTAGTAGTGACAGTTTCCATTTTTGCAGTCATGCAGTCATTTAACTCACCCCTTTAATAACAAAGTGTTTTAGTTTTTACATGTATAGTGTGAACAATTGCAAATAAAAGTTTCACTTTTTTCATTATAGTCTTCAGTCCTGAATAAACAGTAATCCCTGTGCATTGACAGTGGAGGGTTATGTTGTTGTGATAGTAATTTATTTCGAACATAATCTAGAATTTAGGTCAGTTTTGATTTGTTTGTTTGTTTTGTTGTTGTTTGTTTTATATGATTGTGATTTATTTTACTCTTGTGTTTAGTCTCTAAGTTTTAGTTTGTGGTGTCTGTATTGTTATTTTTCTCTGCTCACACGATCTTGGTTAGTAGCACACCTGACACAACAGAGGATGCAATTTCCTCTGTGGTCCACACTGCGCTCAACCACCTGGAGCAGAAAAACTCTTACGTCCGTATGCTCTTTGTGGACTTCACATCCGCCTTCAACACCATGATCCCCCAAACCCTGATGGACAAACTATCCACACTAGGACACAAAGTTTGTTTTCTCAGTCATCCAGGTATATAACAACAAAAAAGGTTGAATCATGTCATCTGGACTTCGTTTTTTTGTTAAAAAGAAACGTTTCGCCCCTCATCCAAGAGGCTTCGTCAGTCTGAGGCCTAGCCATCTGGTATTACCCAGAAGCCACCCTGACTCTTGTGTTTCAAGCCTGCCTCAGATACCCCTGAAGTCTGGCCTTTTCATTAATGGTTTCAAAAACACAAAGTTTGTTTTCTCAGTCATCCAGGTATATAACAACAAAAAAG